TGTCGACCGATTTGATCCGATCAGAGATATTTCAACATTAGATTAGAATACGGTCCTACACTCCTTCCCTTAATATTCATAAAAAAATTTTTCAAAATAACGCTGAATGGGTCAAAAAATTGGTGCGATCCGCCCCATTTTCAATAGCGTTCCTCCTTAGGCCAAAACATGTCGGCGTAAAAAAGTTCGTCAAAATATCTCAAAAGTTTGCGAGTAGTAGTAGCTTTCAACACAAGAAAAATAAACGAATAGAAGGACATACCAGCTGGGATCGATTCAGGAAGAGCTTCTCTTTAATAAAAGGTGCATCTATCTCAGGTCATTCTGTATTTTTGCACAAGTCCGCACGAATTTCATATACTCTGTTACCACAAGTGTTGCAGGATATAAAAAAACAATGAAATTTTTGAATGTTTTCTTCAAAGATAGTTTAAGTTTATTAACAATCGCGTACGTACTTATAAACGGATCTCGTTTATTCGACACTTGCATTTTGGATATGAACTCAAGCATATACATGCTGCGTTTCAAACTTGTATCTAGAAATATGCGTTTACCAGATGGACACGTGAGCGGATAAAAAGAGGTAAAGCCAGAAAAACTTGGTTGAGATATTTGGAATCGAATGCTATATATAGATACATAGCATAGATACTACAGTAGTAATTAATCACTTTTACCATTACTCACAATTGCATTAATACCATTTCGCGATTCACTTTATGAGGATAACTACAACAAATTAAAGTACTTCGGCAATGCAAAAAAAAAAAAAAATCCGCAAAAAATTTTAAAATCCGATGTGAAAGATACGAGACTTAATGAGTTTGTAGAGGAAAATCGCCATCTCAAACGAGCTTTCTTATGCATACGTACATACGTATACGTATATACATATGTGTACAGATCTTATAGATATCATGTATATGTGCATATATATACATAGGTATAGATAGATAGATATCATATCAATGCGTCGACACCTTTGACCAAAGTCACTTTCATCAAACTTATAGCCTTTGGAAATGTTAAGTTCAAGTACAGCATTCGCATATATATGCGCCAGTATGCGTGCCTGTGACGGAGTGTATTTATATATACATTATTATATACAATTATTTGATGTTGTTTCTGCTTTGCATTACTAATTATTACAAAAGAAATCCTTCGGTGGTTGGTTTAATACAATATTTTTTAAATATATTCAAATTTCAAAAGACTTATATATGTACAAAGTGTTATAACAAAGCAAAAAAGAAAAAAAAAATAAAAAAAAATAATAATAACAACATAATAATAGATTATGTTAAATGAAATTTTTCCAATTTTTAAACAATATTAATTAATTTGTTTTGAAATTAAAATCGAATAATTTTAAATCAATTTTTATATAATTTTTCAAATTATTTGAATTTGTTTTTTTTAAAATAATTTAAGCTCTATTAAAACATAGAACTTTATATGTAATATAATTAAATATAAATTTTTGTATATTCTTATTTGTTTAAATTTCGTTCTTCTTCTTCTTCTTCTTCTTCATCATCTTTTTTTTTCTCTTTTATTACATAATATAAAGCATTAAGATTGCTCTCTTGGCTTTTAAGAATTATTGCTAATCAATATATCCCTTCGCCTTATAACTTTCACAAGCTCACCTTTGCTTCCTCTAAATCGGATTCTACATCGCTACCATCATATTCACTATCTGGTGGGGTTAACGGTTCGGCGCCGCGTGTTTTTAACATATTTTGTAATGTGGATTTGTTTAGCAGACAGGCTACTTGATAAGCGGTTAGACCAGCATAAGTTTCCGTTTCCAAATTAAGTTTTTGACATTCGTCCAACAAATAATTGAATAAACTTTCATTGCAAGCTTCGATGGCAATATGCAACGGGGTTCGTCCAGATTTACCTTCCTATTAAAGATAAAAAAACATATATATATATATATAATGGATAATGTATAAGCCGAACATACTGTGATACACTCAAAAAAAATACATCATCACAAATATTTTAATATATGTATGTAAATTAAATCATTGGAAAGGCGATCACTGTTTGAAAGAAGCAACAAATTCGGGGAATAAATATTTTCTGATTAGAAAGACAAATGAATTTCTTTCAAAAAAGACATTTCCAATAGCACTTTTTATACGTTGAGTTGACCGATTCGTCTTCTTCTACTTAAATAATAAAATCAAGTTCAAATTGGGGCGTGTGAAAGGTGAAATTTCATATATAATTAAAAAAAAAAAAAACAAAAACATTGTGACAATAAGCCGAACGGAATTGTCTTCTGATAATGAGTCGAAATTCTGAAAGTCTTTACTATGGTCGACAAAATCACTGCGATCAAGGCGATACCGCTTCGTAAGTTTCTGAAAAAAATCGCGACATTAATGAAGAAGAAGAAATAAAATCAAGTGGCAACATCCAAATGGTTTGCTTATTCCTGCTTCCGAAATTTCGTTGTTCGGTGCGGGCGGATCTCTAGTCGGCCGATCATTGATAAAATCGAAGAAGTTCTTGAAAACGCTAAAGAGTACCGGCCTATTTCATACTATACCATCGCTGCAAAACTGAACATCGACAAAATACACAGTTTTTTATCGCTTGCAAAAGGAAGCTCGATATTTAGATATCACCTGAGGGGTAAAGTTTGATCGACAAACTTCCAAACAGCGAACCTTTTGACTGAAACGAGACGCAATCGAGCCAATTTTAACGAGGAAGACGAGATTGTGTTCCAAGACACAAATAATGGGAAAGATTGTGTTGACGGCATGTAAATGAATGCTTCGTGCTTTATAGGATTGGAAGTGATTGAGGCGTGATTGGTCGCTTCAGTTTATTTAAACGCTTTGTCTTGCAGTGCGACAATGCCAGACCCCACTCATCTTTAATGATCAGGTCCAGGACCAGAGCAGTTTTGAAGCTTTCATTACTTACTACTGCCAGTTGTTTCATTCTTGGAACAACACTCTTAATGCTGTAAGGCGGACTTTAACAGAGGCCTATAGAAATCGTTTGATTCAGTTTGTCGTCTTAGAAGCTCTCCAATAATGATCTTAGTAGAAAGATGGCAAAAGTTTACTGATCGAGGGGGTATAAATTTTAAATAAAGGGAAACTAAGTCTTCTGCAAAGTTCTTTTTTATTGCTAAATATTAGGTCTGCTATTGTTTTGACATGCAGCCTCTAAAAGGTAATCTTACGCAAGTGGTATAAGAACAAACAGATGGTATAGCTTCATTTTTGCGATCAATTATTTTTGACCGCGTGATCTTTGCTCTTCTATTTAAAAGTAAGAACAGATGGATGTGGATTTTTCAAATATATAAGGCATATATAGACGTCCCCGGTTTAACACGGTACTGGCACAGAATTTACACGATTTTATTTACACGGTTTTATTTACACGGTTTTAAAAAGACGAATATGTATGTTCCTTCTTTCAAATAAGTTTTCCTTTTATTTTTACTTAATCATTAACAAAAGGAATTGTAACGGACGAAAGACATGTGCTCTCTTTTTCTTGAGTGCATGTTTTTAAAGATTCACATAAGAGATATGAAATTCATTGAAAATAAAAAATTAAAAAAAAAAAAAACTTACCCTTGCATTAATGTCAGCTCCATATAAAACAAGTAAACGTAAAATGTCGATATAACCCAATTGGGCGGTTAAATGAACACATCTTTCTCCTGCAAAGTAATAAAAAAAAAAAAAATATGAAAATATATTTAAAAAAACGATTAACACAGAGATGTGAATAAAAACTTAATATAATGAATGGCTTAATAATAAATAAATTGTTGGGCAAGAAAAAGAAAAATGATCGGCAGTGAATTGAAAAATAATTAAACTCTGCAATGCTTTTAATAATTCTCGTATCGAAGTTAGTGTTCACTTGAAAAAGCTTTTCTTCTCTAAATATTGTGTATTTTTACTTATTAGCGAAATAGAGAACAACTGCTTAGTAAACATGCTGTATAAGCAGAATGAGAAAAGCTTTGACTATAGACATAAGAAACAAAGCTTCAAACTTTCAGTTTGCTTTTGATGAAAATCTAATAAAAGACACACACAACACACACAGAAATATTCAATATTTTGCTCTCTTTCTATATATATATATATATATATATATATCTGTATATATATATATATCCATATAGAATATACGTGCATATATAGTAAAACTTAACTGGGCTTTCGAATGTTTGCTTAGATACACACACACGCACACACACACATATATATATATATATAGATATATGCAGTAAAGAAGTGAATTGATATTCTGAGCTGTTTAGGTGTAGAAGTGTAAAAAACCCGTGAAATTCCCATCGTATTCAAACGAGTTAACAAGTATATGTGTGCGCTGTTTATGAAACGCAAAAAATGGAAGAAATAAAAAAAAAAAAAACGAAAAGAAAAGAAAAAAATTGCAATCAAAAGAATAACACCGCAAAAATATGGTGACGAGCCGAGTGTGGATTAACATGTAGTCAGCAAGTTTATATGGATTTATATATCATTTCTATTGTTTGGATGGTCAGAGAACCTTATCAAAAAAATTATTGTAAACAATGCTTTCAAGTATTGTTCTGCTAGTTAGGTAACGGTATTTGTCATCTTTTATTAAATTTCAAAAAATTCTCCTTCACAAAAGCATCAGGTGTTTATATATACATATATATACATATATATATATATAAACGCGGTATTGAATGTCACGTAACACGTAAGTACTCTTGGAAGAGCGAAAAGTAACAGCAAGTGTAAAGGGTATGGTGAGAGGAGGAATTTAAGCCAAGTCGAAATTTTGGACTATAGGTCATATCGAATGATCAAAAAGAAAAATTCAATGCGTTTTAGACCAGGGATTGATTGCTATTAGGAATTTTTGCCAAGTCAAAGCCAAAAAAAAAAAAAAAGGAATATTTTTGCTTAAGTATCTCTATACATTAAAGGCATGAGTTTTTCTCTTAATTTTGCTTTGCTCCCTTGAGACTGTTTTGAGATGAATCATTAATTCATCATAACAAAGAACATTTTTGTAAACAAATTATTGATTCTTTAGTCGATTCGTTTAAAGGAAGTTCTTATTCCGGACCTGTACCGGGAAGAGAGACTTTTTTTTTAGGGATTTTCAGTAAACGCGTTCAGCGAAACGAGTTCACACAAGAGAAGGTCACGATTATTAGGGTTGGTTATGTATCGCAGATATCACAAGCGCCTGTTGAGGCTGGTTAATTGAAAAGTGTTCAAGCCAAATGGATATAACTTGTTTGATTTTATGTGTCATTAATATTGGTCTTTGGTTTGCTAAAACCGGAAATTTGTCAGAACGACAACAAGTTGAACATAGTATATATATATATATTCTAATGTCTTATCGTAAATATTATTAATCACTTGAAAATAACAAAAAAACCTAATTGCACTTCCAGCATTTTAAAGGTAATGACAAAACCACTTAATCACATTTCTAACGAAGATCGAAATTCATATTAAATGACGTTGACCTACGATTAGTTTATTCCATATTTACGGCATTGATAGGTCAACGTTATTTAATATGAACATCAATTTCCGTCAAAAATGTAATGATGCAATGCTTTTGTTATTACGTTTATGATTATCAATAAAAAATCTCTTTTTATAAATATACATACTATACTAAGATATAACCTCACTTTCAGTTCAGTTAGACCAAACTACTAGGAATTATTTCTCATACATACGCTTTTATTTCTGAAATCGTTGGCTGTCTTTACAACATCTTGCGGTTTAAAAAGCGAACAGATTATTGTAAACTTTGTAGACATATTCGAAATTTCGAAGATACAGTTACTTTAGCGATGCTACTTTTAGAGCAACTTTGTTACAGTTGTTTGAAGTTAGGGAATTTTATAGCATATCGTTTGATATTATATCATATAAGTTCTTCAATAGTTATCCTACATTTGCAGGTCATCCTACGAACTTATTGAGCAATCTGTTGTCTATATACACGTACAGACACACACACATATATATATATATATATATATATATATCTTGTGCATATATTTACATATATATGTAGAAAACAGTCGGAATACTTTAAGTTTTCACAGCCACAGAAATTCCAAAGCACTTAAGCAAAGCTGACAGAAATCTTTTAATATCAATTTATTAGTTCCTCTAAATAATATGCACTATAAGTATTCGATTCATAGTTATACTAACTATATCTAGTTTCATTAATATCCTTACGGTCCAACTAAAGTTTTTCTAAGTTATCTTTTGCTTGCTTATTTTCCTCGATACGGAAAAATTCCTCTTAAGGGGATTTTATTTTTTATTTTTTTTTTGCAAATCATTGCAATCTAGGTTTTAGTCGTTACTATATTGCAACTAAGAAGGATTTAAGAGAAAAATACAATTAATTATAATTAAATATAAAAGAAAACAAAATGTTTGTTTATAGTGTCGTATAATCCGATAGTCAATTATATTACTATTGAAAGAGATTTTTTTATGACGCATCTGTTTACAAAAACTATTGAGATTAATAACAATAACATTCTCAATAAGGTATGACTTAAGATGTTTTTTTTTTTAAATATTTTCATGAACACACAAACATTTTAATTGTCATTTGCGGAAAAAAACGATGTAAAATTTCCCTTAAAATTATCCTAAGTGCTATTATTTATTTAACTAAATAGTTAAATAGTTAAATAAATAAATAAATTTACACAGATTGCATTTAAAGATGCTTGCGGATCTATACACCACTTAAAAATGAATAAGACCAAATCAAGTTTAACTGTTAAGTGTAAAAAAAAAAAAAAACTTACAAGAAATTACAAAAGTAAAGTTTCACTAATCTATCATACTGCGAGGACTTGACCGATTGTCTCCTACGGATACTGTAAGATCATTCAAACGATACACATTGGAAATGTTTATCTTGTGCAACCGTCGTGTCTTATAAGTAAAAACTAAAATAAAACAATTTATTTTGTAGGCGTGCCCTTTCATGAATTCGACCAATTTTCAACACTACACTTACCCGTTAAATATTTTAACGTTTTTGCATCTACACAAAAGGAAAGACGGACGGACAGACATGTCTAACTAAATGCCTAATTTAATACCGGACAAGATCTCTCTTTCTGAACGTTGCAAACGTTGGGACAAAATTAATATATTCTCAGCTTTCGAGATGGGTTGTAAAAACCCCATGTGGTTTCTTGTCAAACCAGTACATCTCTTAATCAACTTGGATGTTATAACATGACATCACTTATTGCATCTTTTCCTCTTTAACTACCACCAAAAAGACCAAAGTCCAAACCCTTATCAAGAGTGCAAGATAATGATTAAACGATAACTTTAGAATTAAATTTACTTTAGATTGGCTAGTGGAAGTTATTGAATTTCCGATTTTAACGGACCTTGACTATAGCAATATCTGGATAATTCCTATTTAACCGTCTAAAGTAAGTTCTATTAGCTAATAATAGAAAATGATGAGCGCGCTTCTCATAGTTTTCCTTCCATTCATTTTCATTAGGTTTTTCAAGTCAATCTAAACGTACCTCTTATTTTCATAACGAATCATACCACGATGTGACTCTCACTCACTTTTAAAAATTATGGGAATGGTGTTTTTCTTTATAATGTACTCTAATATAAAGTATAATATTATACCCAGATATGCAATTCAATCCAAAATTCAAGTGTGGCTCAAAGACACATCGTGGTCCGATTATGGTTAACTTATGCCTTTATGGTTTTCATTGTTCTTTGAATACTCGAAGTAATCATTTTTATATAACATTGAAACGAGACCCGTTACAAAGGTGAGAGCATTTTGATTGCTATTTTTTTTCTTAAATGTGCACAAGTATAAGTTCCCTGTATCGAAATTGCTTGCTTTGTAGAATCTACCTGCAGCGTTCATTTTTTAGGAATTTCCAGGTATAGAAAACTTTGATATTGACGTTTGTAAGATATAAGTTTCACTCGTTTACAACGTGACGTTCGATGTTTATCAAAGCGTAAAGAGAATTGATGTCATTTACGGCAATGCATTTTATTCTGTTTTAAATTGGATAAAAATGCAGCTGCATCTACTACGAAAGTGATTAACTTGACTTGGAATAAAAAAAAGTTGGAAAGAGTTAGCAAATGATTTCCGAGATTTCATGCAAAAAATTGTAGTGTTGAATATGATGATTGCGTTTATTTGTCTATCCGTATCCAGAAAAACGACCGAGGTAGCTATTTTCAACTTGGGCCGGGACCATCTCTTGATTACAGAATTATTCTTCAATATTATTTTGTCGCCTGCTAATTGACACTGAATCAAATTGGTGTAATCAACTTAGCATATGTCCGTCTGTGTCCTGCAAAAGCAACCAAGTAAACAATTTGAAGCTTGGGCTACGAAATTTTGTCGCATCCCATATACTCACCAAACAATAGCTCACAAAAATTGAACATTTATAAAAATGGACCGATATCTACACGTGATATATCTAACGTGAGGTAAATATCAGATAAGAGCCAAAATATCACCGATAGCAATGGTGAATATTTCGATTAATAAACTTTATAGCAAGTAAATTTTAAATAAAGCGGTTCAGAGAAGTCAAGAACGCGGTAAAGTAGATCGACGAGTATTTAGCCTCGGGGGGGCAAAAGG